CGTTTAACCTTTATGGCTAACAAAACTATACTATTTCCGCGAAATAGTCGCACAACGGGCGCTAGAGTCCTCTAGAATTCGGGTTCAGGTGAATATTCCAAAGCCGCTCTTATGGCCGTCGTGACCGTCTACGATATTTCGAAGTCGATACCGGCAAACACATGACCCCGCCGAGAGATGCAATAAAATTTTTCCAATTAAAATTCACTTAAGCGTTTAACTTTGATTACTTTAAAATTCTTGAAAGATAGACAATATAAAAATATAAAAGATTACTGGTTAATTATTATGTACACGGAAAGAACACTTTTGCTGGCAAATCTAAAAATTTGGCTAGCTACAGATCTGAAAATGATTTTGTTGGGCCTTCAAAATTATTATATACGATGTTCAAATTAATTGTTAAAAGATCAAACATTTTTGCAATATTATCATCATATTTAAGTGTTCTACAAACTAATTTTAATGAGCCAACAAAATTATTTTCAGATCTGTATCTGGTTTTTTAGATTTTAAGTTTTAGAAATTTTTAGATTTGCCATTTGCAAAAGTGTTCTTTCCATGTATACATAGATGTATGCGTATATTAATTGTGTCATTATGTATATTAATTGATAAGAACTACTACTAGTTCTTTCTGCTTATTTTTTTTATTTATAGAAAAAATAATATTTGTTGAATATTTTATTAAATATTTTGTAAAATTTGGAAAACAAATACATACCAATTTTAAATTAATTAGCATGGCTTTGCAACATGAAATTAGTTTCTTGTTGTTTAGATTAATAATAAAAAATATTTTTTCTTTTTAAGAAAGAAAATAGTAACGGATTAAAAAGATAACTTACGTATGTAAACTAATTTACGTACGTAAATAATAAAAATATGGAACATTCATGAAGATTAAAAATCAGAACTATAATGTAGTTGCATTAATATACTTAATTAATATTCAATAGAAAAATAAATAAGGAATATATATGTGTAACGTGTAATTTCTTATTTAGTATTTTACAACATAGATTTATTAAAATATTTCATAAAAATTAGAATTGATTAGACCTAACGTTAATCTTGACGTAATAATATATTTTTATGTAATTCTTATTATCAGAATTTTTATTAATTATTTCAAAATTATATACATAAGTTTCATGTACAAAGTAAATATATTTAATAAAATAATCAATTGAAAAAATTGTATAAATGTGTGTCTTGTATTTCATTACTTATTATTAAAGTGCAAACTGCATCGTGCAATAAAGAAAATGGTGGAAAGAAATGCAATCTTGCGAACTCGCAGGCGGCGCCACTAGTTGGGATAGACGAATCGCAAACGAATAATCTCATAATTTTACATACAAAATTTTTATTTTTAATCTTCATTTTTAATAATTTACTGTGTAACTAAATTTTCTCCCTAGTTTAATATATGTATATATCCAGTACAGTATCCAATATATATCCATTCTATAATCTATAACATAAATTATATGATTCTGAAAAATCTTAAATTTTTATCAAAAATATTTACGATAAAATTATTAAAAAAATTTAGAAGTAAAAAGAAATTATTGTTGCTTATTTTTATATACAAAAAGCGTAGAATCTTTTTACGTATCATTAATAGAAAGTATTTACAAATTTAATAATTTAAATCTTTAAATACGTTTTAATTAATTTTAAATAACTTAAATAACTTCACTTGTTTCATATAAAATGATTTTATATTAACAATTTTTAGAAGGAATTATTTCCAAGAAAATATTACGCAATTAGGAAATTAAGTGTAGTTATCACAGACACAGGTGATTTTTTTTGTTTTTATAATATCATTTTGATCAAATATATAAAATTTTAAATATAAAAAAAAATTTTTAAATAAATAATATGTTTTTTTTCATATTTTGAATATCAAATATTATAGAAATATATATCTATTTTTTTAATTAATATGATTAATATGATTACAGAATATTTTAAATAATCCATGAAATTAAAATGTTTGAAATAGCATTTCAAATTATCAGCATTTCATATACAACATGTTTTATTTAATATTATTAAAATTGATATGTTACATATTTTTTTAGTTTTTGTATATCTTTTTATGTACATTTAAGAAATAGATTTTATTGAAATCTAATTTTTTCTTATTTTTCTTTAATAATGCATAATAATCTCAGAATTATAAGAATATCTATATACGTTATTTCACTTCTATACAAAATGGCGTGTCTGGGTTTGCATCCAAGGTACCTCCACCCTCTTTATAAGGGGTGAAGCCCCATTCCGCGAAACCATTCTTTACATGAGGTCAGTTCTCAATACAGTGAATTTGGTGAGAGTAATGTTTATAATAAATTTTATTTTAAATTAAGAAATATTAAATTAAGAAATTTAAATAAAAATAAACTTTGGCTTTTATATGTATACACACACACACACACACACACACACACACACACACACACACACACACACACACACATCTCCTTTTTCATTTATTTAAACACGTATATGATTTTGCCTATAATTATTATTATCCATTCATATTATTATTTTATTATATTTATTATATAAATTAAATTGTTTTTCTTCATTTTTCTTTAAATATTTATTATACTATTACTTATAAAAATATGTGCATACGTGATATATACATATTTTTATAAGTAATAGTTTAATATACAATTACATATACGTAATTGTATATTAAATTGAAATCCCGTTGAAATTAGACATAACAGTATAACTGACTTGCAACTTCATTTTTTACCGTCGGATATCAAATATTTTCCACTTGATAATTTTTTTTTTCATCTGACTTTGCTTTCTTCGCCTTTTAATGAAGATTTGGTTCATAATGTTGTAAAAAAATTTTTACTTGATTTGATTTGTTTCAATTCTATTTATAAAATTGTTAACGTATATATAAAATTGTTACACCTTTAATGAATAACAAAATAATTTTTTTAGTGAATGTACGTTCAATCTGTAGATATGACTCCTACGAATATACCTCACGTTACTGTTGCTGTTTAAGTTAGACATCTAATTTATTTTTGTACTACTTTCTATTGGTAATGACATTATGTCATAGTCAATAGTTTATTTATATTAACCGAAGAAGACTTAATAAAAATTAAAACGTATTACAAGTAAGTGAATTCATTTAGTTCATCTAATCATTTTTAATGTGTTACATAGATAAATGAATTTATTTAGTTCCTTCTAATTAGTTCTTTCTAATTAAAGAAATTTAGTTATCAAAATTGCTTTTGACCTTTTGTATCTTTAATTTATTGCTTAGCAAAATCGAGCGTGATTGTTGTAATTGTTATGATGATAGTTGTATATTATTGTAATTGTATATGTATCAATAATAAATTGTATATTATTGTAATTGTATATGTATCAATGTATTGTGCTTGGGCTTTGGGCTAAGTCCAAATGATTGTTAATCATTTCTGCAAGAAATAAAAAAAAATTCGATACAGAAAAGAAATTTTTGAAAAATCGTATCTTCCTGATTTATAATACCATCTATCAATGTGTGTCGGTGACCGATAATGCTATTTTAAAGTATCATACACTGTTAATATAACCATAGCAAGAAATGTAGGCAGAAATTATTTAAACCGACTGATGATACTGATGGATTTGTACGTCGCGCTGTCAGAAAATTCTACCGATAAAGATAATCACAGGATTCATATTATCATGTTTTTTATTTACATATCTATTATATTATTATAATATTATTATAATGATATTATAACTATTATATACTATTAGCACTAATAATATTAATAATACTACTGCTAATAATACTATTACTATTACTATTGTTATTGCTTTGTTATACTATTATTATTACTTATCTATTATATTATTTGATATTATATTATTATTATTATTATTTGGTATTATATTATTTTTTATATTGTCCTACTTTAAAATATGAGCTCTTAAAGAAATGCTTTTTTATAATATAGTTACTTATTGGATTTCTCAGGACAATATCTCAGGTTTATATATACTGGTTTTTTGACTGTTTATTTATTTTCATTTTGTTTAAGATAATCAAGATAATCTCTAACTAAACAAAAATACGAGTGGCAAATATTATCTTTTTAAAGAAATGTAAACTATTTTTTTAATAAAATTGATAATCAAAACAAATCAAGAACGTTGTAATTTTTTATGAAATTACATAAATTTGATAATAGTAGAAATCTTTATATTTTTATTATTCTTATTATAATAAAATTCAATGAGTTGTATGTTTGCAAATATAATATAAGTTTTTTTAGAAATATATGCGCAAAATTAATGAATATATTTTTGATATAATATCTTAATGTCTGATATTTTTATGAAAGTCATTAAAATTATTAATATTAAACGTCTCTATAATTTATTTTTTCACGCTTTTCCTTTTGCTTATTTTACATTTTATCTAAAAATATATAAAGTACAATATTTTAAAATATGATTTTAAAACTTATCATATAAAAATTTATTTTCCTGTAAATAATAATTAATAAAATCATGACAAACTAAGATCAATAATTTTATATTTTATAAAACAATTACGGGAATAACTTAATATACAAGTTTAATTAATATAAGTTAATGAATAATATCTTTTTTTAATTATTGCATTTTGAGAGATGTCTCTTTTTATATTATACTAAAATTGTTAGATAAAAGTATTCAATATTCTTGTTATTTTGGAGCATAAAAAAGTTATAATTAATATTTTATTAGTTACAACATTTAATAAATACGTTATTATAAACATTATTGTATATCTAATCACTAAATTCCAACATGCATGTCGTATTTATTAATTAGCATAGAAAACAGTCGTTCAGGATAAACTGTCAAACTGAAAAGGATAAGCTACCAGAAAGATTTGCGCTCTTCTGAAAGTGTGACGTCAATTACCATCATCGATAATAACCCAATGAGCGACTCTCTCCTGCGACAGTCTTAATCCTACCTTTGGAAAACGAACACGCGCCTTCTTCGACACTCACGAAACCGCAGGTACCCTGTCATTATATTAGTTTCACAATCCATTGTTTAGAAATTAGTGAGCTATTACTGATACCATAATTCTCATAATCTACCAATAAGTTCTGGCTGTTAACACATTTTGCTTTCTGATATCGATATTTGGACATTATTTGGTGACATTATATGAGAATAACTAATTTCTTGCCACGTAAAAAAATTTTGCAGAGTATTTCTTATAAGTTATTTACTTTAATTGCAAAATATAGAGGCAATTGATATATGATATAATTCTTTTTGTCTTTATTATTTTTTATAAATAAACCTAATCAGTAGTATAGTGATGAAATTTTTTTATTACATCATTGAGCCATGATACCATGGGAATTCGAATCTAAAAATCTTTCTTCATAATTATGCTTACATCACTCGTGATGTCTAACAGTTTTATCGATATTTTATTTTAAAATTTGGAGAATATGAGATAAATAAATTTAAAATAGAAATTTGATGTTCATTAGCTTAATATAATTTATTTCTAATTTATTGCTCAACATTAATTTATTATATATTTATTTATAATTCATAATTATTTTCAAATTCTAACATATCTACAATTATAGAATGCTCTATTTTGTAATTCTTTATTCGTCATTGATCTTGAAATTTTTTTTCTTTACGTAAGACTATTTTACATTTACGATATAAAACCAGTTTCTTTAAGACACTCTATAGTCGCGCCTGATGAAAATTATCAATCTATCAGACGTAATATAGATACATAGAATTTCACTTCTTGCTGTAATCGTATTCTCGTTTATAAATTCAATTTAATGTAAATGTCACCATTTTCTCATTACTTATTTTTTTTTACTAAGTTTCTAGATTATAGTTTTCTTATACAACAGCTGATTAGTTAAATATTTATACTTGTTTAGATATGTGTGTGTGTGTGTGTGTGTGTGTGTGTGTGTGTGTGTGTACACGTATATGTATTTTTAATCAATTGATTACAGTTATATAACTTGCTAATATCATAATAATAATCCAAAATAAAATATGTGATATTGCATTAATGCACAAGTTGCCTACATTCTTTCAAATAATGATTTAACAAAATTTTTATCATCAATAAAACAGGAATAACTCCGTCACAAAAATATTTAAATTATTATTTAAAAATGCAAAGACAATTAAATGTAACGTAGCAATATTTTAATTATTATATGTCAATTATTTAAAATAATTGTAACACAATAAGAGATCTTGTAAAAAATAGATATTCATATTTATATAATTTAATACATTTGTATATACATCTTCGTCTACGTGATTTTTATTTTTGTGTTATGTTTTTATATTTTATAAAATAAAAATTGTATTAACATCGTCCACAGGTTGTTGCAAAATCTTTCATCAGTAAACTATATGATACTTCAAGAACGTTAAAAATGAGGAAATATCAGAACATATTTCTCCAGCTAGTATTTATTTGCAATTTCGTACTTAACGCAAATACCGTATCGGGTAACATACCAGTGGCAAAAATTCCAAATGGCACCTTGCATGGAACGATGATGCCTACCCGACTTGGGAGAAATATTTATGCTTTCTTGGGAATTCCCTATGCTGCACCGCCAGTAGGAGAACTCAGATTCAAGGTAAAATTATTCTGCTTCTTGCGAGCTTCAAATGCATAGTAAAATTTTATCCTTGAATTGAACTCGATTACCTGAATTTGCGGAATTTGAAAAAAATAAAAAATGCTTAATGAAACTAAAATACTTAATCAAAAATGAATCGATAAGCAATTATGCTCACTTTTATATAATAAAATATTCCAATAGATAAGCGTTTAGTTTAAGAATTCATCTCTTAAAAAAAATATTATTGCATGATAAAATGTGAGAAAAAAATAAATACTTGAGACTCATTTTAATATAAATGATTTAATATAAAATATGATTATGTAAAGTTGATGAACACAGCTAGCTGGATTACAATTTACGATTTAAAGAAGAATCCGGTATTAATTAACTCAATCTGTCTATAGCGTCCTTAATGATTCCTAATGGGCTAGGCATCCTGTACAATCACTCAAAAAGCTGCATCAGGGACTTTCGCGGCAATTAGTATGCAACATTATATATCTAACGTAATAATGAAAACGTCCTTTTTCTCTCGGTTTACGCATCGTGCATATGTTTTTTCACGCAATTACGCGCCGTTGCTATTGCAACTAACTCTAAACGCCGACATTCCGCCGACATTTCCTAAGTCAGTTCTAGATAATATTGCACGTACTCTGTATTCGTTACGCGGAAGTGAAAAAAAACTGCGTTACAATCGAATAAACATAATAATTCTTTCCGAGCACGAATTCGCTATAAAGAAAAGAACCTCGGCAAATAGATACAGAGAGAGGATGCTTTGAAATCGCATTTTATTGCCCCTTTGTATTCGCACGATGTTCTGTCATCACAAATGCAATTCTGCACAGGTTGGTAATATTACTGGAAATCAATTTCATCTTTCGATATATATAATGCGCATTTCTTATTCACATCGCAATATCTTTTAAGAGTGGCAACAGCTAGAGGAAGATTAAATATTGGATTTGTTGATAGAGCAAGCTAATCATGTCAATGTTATGTTTATGATCCGTGTCGCTCAAGAAATTGTTTGAAAATATTTGTAAAAGCTGTTGAGAGAATATTTTCAAATTAAAAGCCTTCAACATGGAAATTATTTTGCTTAGAAATTTTTTAAATTATTTGGTAAAATTATATAAACTTACAATTTTTTAAATCCTTTATTTTTATCACTACCTTATTCAAAAATAAACCTTATTCATAAATAATTTTAATTATTGAAGAAGAATTAATTATTTTTGAAACTGATTAAAGATATTTTAATCAACAGGAGAATTAACATGCAAAATCAAATCAATCAATTACTTATTATTGAATATTTTCTTGAATATATAGTATATATTTTCTTTAATCTTTACAATTATTATATTAGCAATTATTAAATGTATAGCAATTTTTTCAAATAATTCGACAAAATTGTTAAAGACAAGAAATATTTGCATTTAAAAATTTATACGTATTATTATTTTTTAAATAAACAATAAGTTTTCGGATTGTTCGGACAATTCGGAGATGTTTGTCTTTTTTATAAATTATGTCATAATTAAAATTTTTGTAATTTGTTTTCAAAATGTAATACAAATTTTTATTTTTATTTATTGTAAATAATTTAATATTTGTTTAATGAAATACCTCTAAAAATTTTTATTGCAACTGCATATTGTCTCGAAACGTTAATTCACTTGTCTCGCTCAGATTAAGATCACGTTTTATTTGTGCACACATCATCGATCTGTCGTTTCAAAGTAGGGCTCCGTTTAGACGAAGCTGTACGACCAGTTGCAATGCAAATCTAAAGGGTTCAAAGCCAACTAGCGAATTATATATGCAGAATTAATTGCACAGTGTGTGTTTTCTTTAAAGCCCTCGCAACCACCGGTCGCTTGGAGTGGCACCTTAAATGCTGCGAAAAATCCCGAGATATGCACGCAACGGAATATCTACGTTTATCAGGAGGAAATTGTCGGCAGCGAAGATTGTCTCTATCTAAATGTCTATACACCACGCATGCATTGCGACAAAGATCGCTCAGATTCCGATTATGCTAAGGAACGGCAGGAGGTCTTTCCTCGATTTCCGGTCATGATTTGGTTCCATGGCGGCGGATGGCTCGCTGGTGCCGGCAACTCTGATTATTACGGACCTAAATTCCTGCTGGATCATGACCTCGTTCTCGTCACTGTGAATTATCGGTAATAAATTTTAATGATTCAAATCGGATGCTAATATTAAGATTTTCTATGGAATTCTTGTGGAATTCTTCACCGTACAATTTTAATTTTCACGGACAAAAAGAGAGAGAGAGAGAGAGAGAGAGAGAGAGAGAGAGAGAGAGAGAGAGAGAT